TTTTTTTTGCTAGTATAAATGTTGCAGTATGCATATACATGTAAACAACATTTTGTGTATTTATATGAGACATATATGTTTCTTTCTGTATATTTGCCAGAGTTTCTCTGGGATATTTGCCTGGGAGTAAAATTATGGGGTCTTGAATAAGTACATATATAATCTTACTAAGTATGTCACCTCTTCAAAATGGTTGTTCCAATTTATTCTCAGTAGTGTATTACACAATATTGTACATCCTCAACAACATTGATATTGTCAATTTAAAATTTTGTGCCTATCTAGTAGATGTCCAATTGTAATGTTGATGAGCTGATTACAAAGAATTTACCCTTTTCAGATAAAGAAAAAGGAAAAAGTTTCCTTTTCTTTTTTTATTGGGTTGTCTTTTATTGATTTTATAAGAGTTTTGGGCTACAAATAGAATTACCATTCAACCCAGCAATCCTGTTACTGGATATATACTCAAAGGAAAATAAATCATCCAACCAAAAAGACACGGGCATTTGCATGTTTGTTGCAGCACTGTTCACGATAGCAAAGATATGGAATCAACCTAGGTGTCCATTAGCAGTGGACTGGATAAAGAAAATGTGGTGCATATACACCACAGAATACTATGCCCCCTTAAAAAGAGAACAAAATGATGGCCTTTACAGCAACATGGATGCAGGTGGAAGCCATTATTCTAAATGAATTAACACGAACAAAAGACCATATACTGCATGTTCTCACTCAGAAGTGGAAACTTAACATTGGGTACATATGAGCATAAAGATGGGAACAATAGACATTAATAGACTAATAGAGGTGGGAGGGAGGGAAGTAGAGGAACAAGGGTTGAAAAACTACCTCTTGGGTACTATGTTCGCTATCTGGGCTATGGGTTCAGTTGAAGCTCAAACCTCAGCATCATTCAATATATTCATATTACAAACCTGCACATGTACCCACTGAATTTTAAAAAAAAGTATTAATCAAGAAAAGAAATAAAGAGTTCTAGGTTATAATGCTTTGTCAGATGTGTGTGACATAGATAGCTTTTCCCAGTGTGTGGCTTGTGTTCTGTGTTTTTTATGTGTCTTTCAGTTAAAGTTTATATTTTTAGTGTTATAGATTTTTCATTTTTTTCTTTGTTTGTGCTCTGTTGTGACTTAAGAAATCCTTTCCTATGTCAAAGTCATAAAGGTTCTTCTATATTTTCTTCTAAAAGCTTAAGTTTGATCCTGTAAGTTGTTAATACATCTGGGAAATATGTTGGCGTATGATGTGAATAGGGATTAATTTTTTTTTTTCTTATAGACGACTGGCACCATTTATTGACTGTTTCATTTCATTCATCTTTAGTACCAGCTCTGTCATAAAAACATCTTCCATGTATGTGAGGCTTTGCTTTTGAGTTTTCTTTTCTATTCGTTTGGTATACTGACTACACTGTACCACACTGTTTTATTGACTATAGCTTTTAAATGAATTTTGATATCAAGTAGAGCATACCCTCCCAACTTGTTCTTCAAAATTGCCATGGCTATTTTGGACTCTTTGTTTTTCCTTTTCTATTTTAGAATTCATTCACTTATTCATTCAGCACACATTTATTGAGCATCTACAGTGTGTTTCATATCACTATTCTAGATATTTTAGAAACAATAGCCAATAATAACAGGGACAAATTCTGCCCTCATGGAGCCCACATTCTAGTGCTAAGAGATATGGATAACATCACCAATAAATAGGTAAATAAGTAGAATACATAGTGATAAGTGCTAAGCAGAAAAAGAAGTAGGAAAGGGGGTTAGAATATGGGGCTTGTGTCCCTGTGCTTGAGAGGAAGAGACTTGGGCATGTTTCTGTGCCACTAGCTCTGCCAGGTTTTAGAACCTCCACTTTATAGATGAAGAAGCTGAAGCTCAGTGAAGTGGTAATTCATTCAGTGTTACCCAGGCAGTGTAACATGGTAAAGGGAGCTCATGTAGGCTGTGTTGTCAGGTAGCTTTGGGTTCAAATGTCAGCTCTGCCGTTCACTGCTTGGGCGACTATGTCAGGGTACTTTTGGCTGTAAGTAAATGAATACCTGACTGAACATGGTGCCAAACCTTGCAAAGCAGGAGAGGTGGGTAGGCTTTCCTCAGTAGCCCCCTCTCCTTTTATCAGGGAGGAGAGGCTCTCTCAGAAGGACCCCCAGCCGACTTTCCCTAACCTCTGATTGTTTGAAAATCCGGACACTTGGCTACTCCTACCTGAAAAGGAGGTAGAGAATGCAGACCCTAGTATTTTGGATCTCTTGAGGGAAAAGGGTGTTGCAAGTAAGGAAGGTGGGGAGGAATGGCAGACCAACAGTGTCTGCCAAAAACTATGTAACTTTTGAGCTTAACACCCACATAAAATGGGTATATAGCATCCGTCATCATGTAGGACTTTCGTGAATCTTAGATGAGAGAAAGTATGGAAAACATCTGTGCCTAAAACATAGTAGTGGCAGTAAATCATAGCTGCTCATACTATTTTTCTAAGCGGTAGAATCAAGATTAGAGGTCAATTATGCCTCCCAGTCCAGAGATTCATGTTGCTCTGTGGTACACCCCTGTACTGCACATACAGTACTCTTCTCTTTCTCTCTTTGATTGTACTCTTCTGATTTCCTGAAGAAGGCTGACCAATTGATATATGATTCCACATCAGCTGTTAAGGAAACTCACTTGAGATACTGATCTCAGAGACGTTGTATTCCCTAGAGGCACTGGATCCCTTCTCCATCCAGAATTGCCAGAAATTTTACCAATCCAAGAGTTGCCAGGAATTTTACCTAGCAGTACCTTCTGAAATAATTAGTCATAATATCATCCACTCCATCTACCCCTCCTTTGTCCACTTACTTCAGTATTTTCTCTATTATCCATCCCGTAGAGATATAAATGAAGGCTTTCCATATAGCTATTCCTTCAGCTGCTAGGAATATAGTTTGAGGGGCAGCAAAAAGATATCTGTGTTATTCTCTACTCTCCTATTGTTGTCTTTTAAATGCTTTCTTATCAGTATATTCCCTATGTTTCCCCTAAATGAAGTTTGTTTAGTATACTAGAGCCATAGAAATGAACATTTTAGATCCAGAAGGGGCCTTACCAACCTTATATCCTTTTTCTCACTTTATAGTTGATTATGTTTTCAAGATCACATAACTAGTTAGTGGTAGGACCAGGTTTCTTTATCATTTTCTTCCTGCATGTGCTTTTGGGTCTTTATAGTTAAAATCAGAACAGTGATATACAGTTTGAATATCCCCAATCCAAAAATTGAGCACTGACATGATGTTCAAAGGAAATGCTATTCCAGATTTTCAGATTAGGGATGTTAGTTGATAAGTATAATAAGTATAATGCAAATATACCAAAATCTTTAAAAATCCAAAATTTGAAATACTTCTAGTCCCAAACATTTTGGATAGGGGTTCTCAACTTGTAATATTACAGTTAGCTTTTGTTCCTTATTCTCTGTTTAAATGTTATTATTAGATCATTTTTAGTAGCGGAGTCCCATTAATATAAGTGATAATAGTGCTGAATCTTAGCCGTAAGTAAGGGCTACATATGTGTGTGTGTGTTAATTATTTGTTCTCTGTGTAGTTTTAATTTCCATTGACAGCTGCTTCTCATTATTGTTTTTCAAGCTTTTCTTGATTATGTGCATTTAATTTTACAGGTGAACTTTAGATTTAATATGTATAATTAATATTAACATATTATAATTATATATGTGTATTATATAAATAATCATCCCTCACTCACTATAAAACAGAGCAGATTGGAATTTTTAAACTGAAATTTATGTTGAATTTTTAGATTAATTTGAGATTAATGGATCTCTTGCCATAATTAGGAGCCTTAGTCTTTTGTTCTCCAGAAAAGTTTTCTATAAATATTTTAATAGGAGTGGTATTAAGAAACAGTAGGCATTTTTAGTAGCAAACAAAATATTATTGGTAGTAGGTGAGAATGGTAAGCATATGTTTAAAATACCATCAAATATTGAGTTTATAGTAGGACTTTTTATTCATTCATTTAGTAAACTCTTATTGTGATAAAGGAGGTATCAGGGATGACATCCATATTTCTGGCTTGGGCATCCACATTTAAAAAATTAAAGTTGAAATGTGTGATATATAACATTTGTAAGCTTTTTGATCTGAGGGGGGCAATTATAATGTTCCAGGTACTGTGTTAGGTGCCGGAGATGTAATGTTGATCAACGCCGCACCATGCCACCCGCAGGCCCTGGGCCTCCCTCCTGTGCTCATGGGCACCCAAAGTTTCAGCCTCAGAAGTAGTTTCCGGAGGGGCCAAGGCAGCCAGGGCTTGGTGTGTCAGTGCCGCCCCAAGCACATGCACACCCAGCTAGGTCACGACAGTACCTGGGCTGGGCTGTCGGGACATGTCCACAGCTTTGCTCTGCCACAGAGCAGGCAATGGGAGTGGGAAGAGGCCAGGGAGCGGGAGCAGGCACTTTTGAACCTGCAGGGGGAGGGGGTTTCCTAGGCCCCCAGGAACGCAGGGATGCCTGGGTCCAGAGCCATGGCTGGGCGGCTGCAGCTGTGCCCAGGAGTGTGGCTCCTGCCCTGCCAACTCGGTAGGGCATGGGGCTTCCCCTGGGATCACCTGTTCCCAGGTCTTGCCTGTTCTGCAGAGCACGCAACCCTGGCTGCACCTGCCCCACTGCAGCTGGCATCCTCACAGTGGCCACTCCAGACAGGCCGCTGCTGCCATCACTATGAAGGGAAAGTATAGCTTGAGCTGCAGTAAGAAAAGGGAGGGGGCGTAACTTACTTGGGAAGGGTTGTGGGGCATGTCAGGCTACACTTTTGGTGATATTATGAGTTTTGAGCAAAGGCCAGAAATGTGTCTAGAAGTTCTTAGATGAAGAGGTAGAGTTACAGTATTCCATTTAGTGGGAGCATCTGACCATGTGTGAAGGAGCTTGGTGCATTTGAAGAGCCAAAAGAAGGCTGTTGTCACTAGAACATAGTCAGTGATTGGGAGAGGGACTTGAAATGACTAGATTGCCTTCCTTTTTTTAGTCTGCTTTTCAATATTCACTACTGTGTTGTAGAAAATGGATCAGAGGGTCAAGCGTAGATATGGAGAGAGCGTTTAGGAGGCTGTTTATCTATAGTAGTTCAGGTGAGAAACAGTGGGGACATTACAACTAGGGATGTGACAGTAGAGAGAGAGAGAAGTGGATAGGTTACAGAAACATGTAGGCGATGCAGTTCCCGGGGTCTGATAATGTATTGAGTATGTGGAGAGATGGAGGAGGGATCAGAGTGACACCCATATTTCTGCCTTGGGCATTCAGTCATTTAAAAACTTGAAGTTAGGCCGGGCGCGGTGGCTCAAGCCTGTAATCCCAGCACTTTGGGAGGCTGAGATGGGCGAATCACGAGGTCAGGAGATCGAGACCATCCTGGCTAACATGGTGAAACCCCATCTCTACTAAAAAATACAAAAAACTAGCCGGGCGAGGTGGCGGGCGCCTGTAGTCCCAGCTACTCGGGAGGCTGAGGCAGGAGAATGGCGTAAATCCAGGAGGCGGAGCTTGCAGTGAGCTGAGATCTGGCCACTGCATTCCAGCCTGGGCGACAGAGCGAAACTCCGTCTAAAAAAAAAAAAAAAAAAACTTGAAGTTTGAGTGAGTATGTAACATTTGCAACTTTTGTTGAGGAGGACATTCTTAAACTTACGCATTCTAGAAGAGAATATTCAGTGCTTTCCATGTTGATGACCGGGATGTTTTTTCATGCTGTAGATATTACACCACCATATTGCCTCAGTAGAGAAACTTGCTTTGACTACTTCTGGATGTCCCCTTGTGATTCAGTGCAAGAACTTCAGAACCGTGCATTTCATTGTTCCCAGAGAAAGAGATTGCCATGATATTTACAACTCTTTGCTACAACTGTCAAAACAAGGTATTGTTCTTAGAGACCAAAGCTTGCATGCTCACTTTGAGATGGGTTATCTAAGATACTTTATTTAATGTTTTATTATTGTTATTTTATCCTTTTATACTCTGACAGTCAGGTTCTTGTGTACTCTGTCTCCCCCAAATTGGCCTGAAAGTAATTAGAAACTATTGATCTAAGAATGGTATAATCGGAAGGGGTAATGGTAAGGAAAAAAGTAAAGCATTTATAGTAGAGACTTACAAAACCACAGTTTTATATTAATCTTTTAAGTCTATTGATAGCAAGTAGCACAACATATTTTTTAAGAAGGTATTTCACAATCAAAGAGAATGACTTGGAAATTGATATTACAAAATAAAAAGTTAAGGAAGGTCAAGGTCCTTTGGTAGCAGTGGGACTAAAATATTTAATAGATTTGAGTGGGAGATACAGAAGCTGAGCAGAGAAACAAGAGAGGGTGAATTCTATTTGAGTAGAAGTAAGATTGAGTTCAGTCCTAAAGAAGAACTTTTTTTTTTTGGAGACGGAATCTCACTCTCTGGTCCAGGCTGGAGTGCAGTGGCGCCATCTCAGCTCACTGCAACCTCCGCCTCCCAGGTTCAAACAGTTCCCTGCCTCAGCTTCCTGAGTAGCTGGGATTACAGGCAGCCACCACCACGCCCGGCTAATTTTTGTATTTTTAGTAGAGACGGGATTTCACAGTCTTGGCCAGGCTGGTCTTAAACTCCTGACCTTGTGATCCACCCTCCTTGGCCTCCCAAAGTGTTGGGATTGCAGGCGTGAGCCACTAAAGAAGAATCTTATCACTACTTATGCCCTGTGGATCTGGTGACTTCCTTCCCCCAGCATGACTTGAATTCTATGTTGGACTGGATTTCGGTTGAGCAGTCTGGATTGCTGCCTACAAGAGTGGTCTCAGAGCAGGTCTTTGTTCATTCTTCTCTCTGAGGACATAAGCCTGTAACATCCCATTGTCTCAAGCCAGAGTTTATAGTAAAGATGATTCCAAAGCGCCTCAAGAGCTCTGTGCAACAGTTGCTGTTTTTAGTCGACAGTGTCTGGTAGGGATGTATAATGCAATTTCATGTTCTGTATGCTGTCTCTAGCTTCTCATTATAACGTTAGTCTAGTTTACATCTGATTTGGGAAAGTGATTAGTGGAAAATGTCTATTAGTGTCTTTATAATTTTACTTTTAAGAAAAAGAAATACTGCAGTAGAGGATTTAACATGTAAGTCTAACTGTATTTATTAGCTTTACTTTTGCTGTTGACAAAAAATCCCATCTCAGATTGATATGTGTGGTTTTTAGGTATAATCATTTGCATACTGAATATCAAATATATTCAGTTATTAGCCATCTCTTTGAAGATTGTAAAGAGAAAAATGAAGGAAAAAACTGAAAAATTACATTTATTTGTAGTATGTCTTATAAATTGCACCTAACACTTAAAATTTTGTATTCTGTAGCAAAATATGAAGATCTCTATGCATTTTCTTATAATCCCAAACAAAATGATTCAGAACGACTACAAGGCTGGCAGCTCATTGATCTCGCTGAGGAGTATAAGAGGATGGGAGTGCCAAATTCTCACTGGCAGTTGTCTGATGCCAATCGGGACTATAAGGTACCTTAACAACGTTTTGGAGAAATTCAGAAAATGTTAATACCAGAGGGTTAGAGAGTGTCAGCATAGCAAGTTGTCTGTGTACTGAAATGTGCTGTTCTTGCGTTTAATAAGGTTTCAAGGTGTTTAAAGAGGTTTTGAACTGAGATACAATGGTTATGTTTGGTTTGATATTTACAGATATGTGAAACGTACCCCAGAGAACTGTATGTTCCCCGGATAGCAAGCAAACCCATCATTGTTGGTAGTTCCAAGTTCCGGAGCAAGGGAAGATTCCCAGTTCTTTCCTACTATCATCAAGATAAGGAGGTAGGATGCTTTTCTTTTGATTTTAGAAATAAGGTATAACTCATCTTCAGGGTTAAGTATCTTAAATAACACTTTGTTTTTTTTTTTTTTGAGACAGGGTCTTGCTGTGTTGCCGAGGCTGGAGTGCAGTGGCACGATCTTGGCTCACTGCAACCTCCACCTCTTGGTTCGAGCAATTCTTGTGCCTCAGCCTCCTGAGTACCTGGGACTGCAGGCACATGCCACCATGCCTGGCTAATTTTAGTAGAGACGAGGTTTTGCCACATTGACCAGGCTGGTCTTGAACTCCTGACCTCAAGTGATTTGCCTGCCTTGGCCTCCCAAAATACTGGAATTACAGATGTGAGCCACTGGCTGGATCAAGAACACTATTTTTTACATTAAAAGATTGCTAATGGAGAAGCCCTGGCTTTTTGTTTAATTACATTTTTGCAAATTTAAAACAAAACTACTCAAATATAGAAATTTTCATACTTCTTGTCATCTTTTCTTGACCCTCCCTTCCTTCCAGCAGTGACTTGAAAATAATACAGTTAGTTAACAGATAGGATCCTCTTTCTTTCCTGTGGTTCTCTTTTGATTCTGCTTATATTTGGGAAAACCAGTTAGTTTTGATAAGATGACCGCTGAGACAAGGGAGAGAACCAAGGGCATTTCAGAGTCCCGTTTTAATAGTAAACTCAAATCAAAAGGGTTTTGCAACATGAAGCAGTGGAGGAGGCATCTTTATAGTGAGAGGCTGTAATAAGGTTTGCTTACATTAGTAAAACTTAACCTTTGTAGCCTGCTAATAGAAGGCCAGGAGGCACTGTATGTT